AAAGCAAAGTAAAAGTGTGTTTTATTTATGTGTGCATGAAATTTGAAAATCATTCCAAAATTCACGCAGCCGAGTCAGCTTGCAATGTCAGGTGCATCTATTGTCTTATTTGTTTGTTTTGGTCGTGTTTGTTTTTAACAGGTAAAAACTTTTTAACAGAGTATAAACAGAGCCATAGGTCTCAATTAGGTTGTCATAATTAGCTGCACGAGTCTGCATAAACAAAACCATTTGAGATGCTAATCAGTTTCCCTTCTTATAAAACACGACAAATTTAGGTATTAAGAAACTGTAAAATTCAGCCATTATGCGCTCTTTATTCTTACTTTTTCCTTCATCTGTATAATTTACAGTAATATGGCTGATGTATAAATAGAGTATCAACATAAAGACCAAATAGAAACTAGGCTTATTAAAGTAGTGCATTGCCATAATTTGCAACATTGTTGTCAATTATAATTTGTAATAAAAGGTTTCTCTTAATCTAGTTACAACATCGCCTGAATAAGCTTGGGATGAGCAAATAACAATTTCGCCTTTCCATCGATCACTGCTTTCGAAACGTTTACATTACATTCTTTCGAAGTTTGTTCGTTTGTATCCTCCTTGCGATCAAACAACGACTCCGAATTGTATAAATGTGAAGAATCTTGGCATGTATTTGGTAAAATTTCTGCTGGAATTCCAATCAAACTCAGAGCACTGATTTGTTCTTCGATTATACTTGATAACGGACAGACAACAAGAACGATATTCTGGGACGACTTTTTAACTGGCAAAAGGTCTGGCAAAAGCTGAAACAACAGCGACTTTCCAAAGCCAGTTGGAAGAATCGACAACACATCGAAGCCTTGAAGCAAATATTCAAAGCATTGAACTTGCTTTGGTTTCAAACAAAAACTGGGAAAATTATTCATAGCAAATGCTACATGTAACCGCTTAAACGTATCAGAAAATTTCCACATTTTGACAACATTCCGTGTGTGAAATACTGTTATTCGTGTTCACCGCTCCTTGGCCATCAGAATTAAATATTGCTTATAATTTGAATATATTATATGGGTCTTAATTTATTACACCCCAAAATTTGGGGTGTAAATTTTAGCCGATGCCAGGGCCTTCTCCAGCTCAAAGGCCCTGGAGACGAGGTTGAATATTGCGAAATCTTGTCGAAAGTACTTGTGAAAGTTTCGAATAGCTAAAAGATTTGAATTTGAATTTTAGCGGAAAGAAATTCTTTATTTTGGGGGAAATTTTTGATCATGCTCAGCATGACCAGCATGACCGCTAGCTACGCCACCGTGTATAGTTAAAAGTACGAATCTTTCAAATATTTTGCAGTTTTGTACAAAAATATGAAAAAATAAAAATTCAAGATATCGTGTTGTCATGGCAATACTTGAGCGCGAGCCTGCGTTCAGTCACTTCAGTGTCGGCCATTTCCGAATACTAGCTTCATGTTAATTTAATGTTTGGAAAATATTGGCGAGGGGTTACTGCATGCATGTATTTCTAGTTATCTATAGCATCTCGTCAGGTCCCTAGTATTATCATTAATACTTCCCAATCTACGACGCATACGTGACGAAAAACTGGCGCTTTCATCAGTTTCACTTCATGGGTAGAAACTGTTTTTGGTAAACAAAGCCAGGGACACGAGAAAAACGAAGTAAAACTAGTCTCCCATTAATATTAGCGACTGTTTTTTAGTCGGTCCTTGTCTCAGATTTGGCACATCTTTTAAAAGCTCTCTACTAACGTAGAACGTGATGTTCTATGACTTTGCAAGATTCATATATTCGGTTCGGTGCATGCTATGAAGACAAAATTACCACCATCCAATTCAGTGAAACAAAATCCCCTAATTCCTGACGATAGTTTTAGTCAAATATAGTTGTTGTCAAAGTCATGCTTTATATTCCAAACTGGAACATATGAACCTGACCAAAGTACATCATCATGCTATACAAAATATTGCTTTACAGGTGGGGAAGGGAGATGCGCTGATAGCCTGTATTTAAGATTCTGTATATGCTGATAAAATTTAAGCAGTTTTAAATTCGCCAAATTTCAAAAAGTCCTGTAATAAAATTTTTGTAATTTAAAAAGGTAGGGCAAAATATCATACATGTTCTTTGCTGATGATTTGTGTCAGATTTTTTTCGCATTGTGTCCCTGTTCATTGTATATGCATTGTACTGTTCCTGTGGTGTTTTTTCATAACTGACGTATTAACTGAAAATACCTTACTTAAATAAGCGAAGATTGTTTTTCAATTGATAAAAAAATACAAATACAAACCTTCATTTCCCCTCGTCAAATTGTTCAATGTGTTATTCAAGTTCGCGATAACTTGCTCCAATTTGGCGATGTCGTTCTTCAAGCCTTTATTTTCTGTTTTCAGTCTATTGCAATGATCGCTTTTCGACTCATTTTGAAGTTGATAGATTTCGCTTTTTAAGTCAGCTTTGAGTTTTGAGATAGCATTTTTTAATTCACTTCTGGTTTGATTTAGTTTCTCCTCCGACTGTCGAAAAAAAATATTTTAGAATTTTCAGTATTTCAGAATTTTCATACCCAGCGCAAGCAGAAAGGATGCTGTCTGCCCCGGCTGAGTCTTGAACCCGCGATCTTTGAATTACTAGATCGACGCTCTACCTACTGAGCTACACGGTCAGACGGATTTAAGACTGGAAATTATGAAATATATACTGAATGTCATAAACATACTCGTTTATATTAATTCAGCATCGAACCTACCCTGGGTTCAGAGGTTTTCTGGAGGCGACGAGGCGGAGAAAACCTCTGGGTGCGACATGTCGAATTTCATTTCCATGACGTAATTTATTAATGTTTCACACTTCTGGTCTGAAGGGTGTAGTCCAGTACGTATTCAAAAGTATTCAACAAAAACATATTCCCCTGACCAATTTTGTTGTGTTTGCCAATGTTACATTAATTGATATTATACCTCAAATTCAAATTGTCCAATCAGGAAGCTTAGTTTGTGCCACGTGAGCATGAAATTAATCGCGATATCACGCCTTACGTCAACAATTAGCGAGCCTGCGTTCTTTTTGACAATGTTCCACCCCATGTTCCCCGGGAAACATGGGGTGGAACATTATTCGCGTAAACCACGCGAGACAACACGCATGACAACAACATGGCCGACAAAATATAAATAGTATTGATGAGTGATGAATAATCTGGGTAAATGATGTAAAACCTGGGGCTTTTTCAAAATTTTGAAGCAAATTTTGAAAAATGTTGTCATTAATATTCCAAACGATATGTGATTCGAAAGAAAAGCGACGATACTTGCGTTAATCCGAAAATTTAACATCGTATTCACGAAGGTATGTGTCAATTTTTTATTTCTCAACTTGGAGGCTTTTAATTTTCGGTATAATATATAATTTATAGACCCTCCGCTCGGGGGATTCGGCGAAATATTACCCTCAGTGATGATATTTCCCTCGGGGCAAAGCCCCTCGGGAAATATCATCACTTCGGGTAATATTTCGCCGAATCCCCCTCGCTCCAGGTTTATAAATGATAATTGTATTCGGAAGAGGAAAATGTAATATATTCTCTTGGAAGATTTCCAATGAACTGGCGCATCGGCTGTCTATTTTGGACACAACGTGTCCCCAAATTTATACTGATGACAAATTGACAATCGGCAAATCTGCCTAGATTCTAAGCAGTTTCAAGTTACAAATTAAAATACAAGCAGCAATCGAGTACATATTTAATACTTGCATGTGAAATATAAAGTAATGACAGTTATTGAATTATTACTTTCAAGTTTGATGATACAGAACGTTCTATATCTGTTTAGGACTTTACATTGTGTATATGTACATATAAAATATATAACATAATTATTTAGCTCAAATGCCTTGCCACGACTGAATTTTTGTTCATAAATATTCATGAATTCCACAATACGGGCTACACAATTTTAAAACAACAAACTACATGAAAAACAATTGAACATACACAGTACAGCATACAGTACAGGCTATACAGCACAACACGACCACATACACACGACAAAATTCCGCTCAATTTATACTCGACATATATACAGAATCATCGCATCATCAGAGCGTGATATTAATATGTCTGCAATGACGCTATTTGATCTAACTGTTTAGGAATAACATGAACTTCATCTGAGACGACAACCAACAAATTCTCCTCATAAACATCCACGAACAATCGCTTTTTGTTAACGAAATGCACTCACTTGTTGAACAGTATAAATAGAATACAAATTATTATTGAATATCTACAAAGTAAATGATTACTTAACAAGTCTATTTATGTACAGATATTTCCATCTGCAAAATTTGCCAGATATCTTCACAAATTATTTCATGACTAATAAAGAAATCCATAACCACAACACTAGAAATTCATCATCTTTGCACAAAAAATGCTACAGAACAAATTATACAAAACATACTCTTGCTAATAAGGGAACTGATGTTTGGAATAATCTTCCCACACAATATAAGAAAATTCAATTCTATGGTACTTTCAAAAAAACTATAAAAAAATACTTTCTGCATTTAATTACTTCAAGTTAACATTTCCACTTCACCAGTAAAATGTTTGTAAATGTAAATATATATAAATATATATCCCGTTCTTCATTATTTGTTAAAAACCTATTTTTCTCTTTCAAATGTAATACAACTCCAGCTTACTATTTTACAGTTATGTATTGTACATTAATTATAATATATTTCCTGACTTTAAAAAACAACATTCGAACTGCATGCTAGATTATGAAATTAGCTAGTTATATAATTATTACCTAGGGACCTTAAACAAAAGCCTTTTGGTTTCTAGAAGGTTCCTAGCCCTAATTTTGTAAATATTTAATTCTACTTCTTATTGTTATGTAATTGGGCGAAAATTTAAAAAAAAAAATTAAAAAAATACAGCAAACGTTTATTTGTGTTTGCCGATAAGGCCCGATAAACCAATCAGATGTCTAGGGTCAAAATCTGACCCTAGGCATCTGATTGGTTCGGCGAAATCAATCAATCAACATATCGCGCCCAGGGGTTTTCCAATTTCGCCAGCACTGCCTGAGTGCAGGCTACAGCTTCAGCAAAACAGGAAACCCCCTGATCCAGGGTACATCGAACCATACTAGTTCGTAAGTGTTATGTTATGTTGTGTTATATTGTTCACTACGTTATATGATAAGTTGAAAATCGAGTGCGTGTTTCATAATTTCCATACCCAGCGCAAGCAGGAAGATATTGTCTGCCCACAGGGGGTCCAACTAAGAGCTGTGCTATGAATATGAATAAAACATTAATAAATCGTAATATGAATAAAACATCATAACGTAATATATTTAAATTATTGCACTTACTTGTATAAATTATAAGAGCTTGTATTTCCAGTGAATAGCTTCAAACAGGGCGCTTATGTATCCTCAGAAACATTGCTTCGAAAGATTGTTGAAATATGGCGAATAAATTGACAAAACGAAAATATTACATGACGTTCCAACGAAAATAACAGCAAGGATTGCGGGCGCGCGAGCGAAAAGGCGAGGGAAGAAATAAATAAAAAGGATGAAACAAATATCACGTGACTTTTTTAAATGCTTCTAGACTACCCGTTTAAGCTTTTTGTGGGGTTTTTAAGGCTCAGTCGATGTTCTCTTACATGAACAAACCTAGCCATTACCAAAAAAGCACTGATCAATCTAATTTATGTGATTTATAACAGCGAGCATTCTTGGCCATTATCGCGAGATGTGTTCCATAAGTAGCCTGTTCTCGTGACTAAATAATTTAAAAAAACCGTTGGTCGCTACATTTAAATATTTCATATTAGCCGGTATAGCTAAACATTGTTTATTTTCATTAATTAAGCGCTTAAGCGTTGTTGGAGTTGGCAGGAGGCGTTTTGGAATTTTCCGAGAGAACAGGCTACCTATGGGGTAAGCTGTAAAACATGGAATCTGGAATCTGGAATCTTGGAATCTTGGAATCCTGGAATCTTGGAATCCTGGAATCTTGGAATCTTATCTTATAACCGCAAAATATGTTAGTATCAAGATATTATTATTATACTTATGCAACATATTGTTCTGCATGCGATGATTTAATACTTGGTGAGTTAGCAGAAGCAGACCTTGGTAATACATTATCGGTATATACTATACGTTGCAGAATGTAATATCTCCATCTTGATGCCAATGCATAAATAATAATATAAACGCTGTTGCCGTGTTGCGCGCATCTAAATAATGTCGTCGGTTTATGAATAGATTTAAAATCAAGTGAGTAACAAGATATGACCATTGCAATCAGGAAAACCTCAATTATCAATTAGATGTACTGTAACGCCTCGTATTCCGTCAAAAAATAGCACACTTGCGAACAATGGCCGTGTTCATTAACTATGATATAGTCTATATTCAACGAATTAAGGTTATATATAGTACGTGGTTAATGAGGCTCATAGTCTTGCTATGTGAGTAAGTGAGTTATATAGCACGTGGTTTTTCAACTGGCAATGTTGTAGCGGCAGAGCGTTAATCTAGCGCTTTTTCGGCGAAATTCAAACATACAATGCACCCATACATACATGCAATCGATCATCAATAATATAGAACTTGATTTATACTAGTGTAAAGGAGGAGTCAAAGGGGCTTATTGTCTTACTGACATAAGACATAACCTTAATGAATATAGACTATATATGTATATATGAACGCAATTGTTCGCAAGTGTACGTGATATTTTTTGACGGAATACGAGGTGTTATAGTGCATCTAATTAATTGAGTTTTTCCTGATTGCAATGATATATATATAATGTAATTTAGTTGCCTCCCGCCTGGTCATCTTGCTACGCACTCATAAACCGACGGCATTATTTAGATGCGCGCACAGCGTGTATATTATTATGTATTGGCATCAAGATGGAGATATTAAATTCTGCAACGTATATAGTATATACTGATAATATATTACCAAGGTCTGTTTCTGTAGCTAAGTGTTAAATTATTGCATACAGAACAATATGTTGCATAAGTATAATCATAATATCTTGATAATAACATATTCTGCGGTTATATGATAAGATTCCAAGATTCCGAGATTCATACATATTAATATTGATACATATTAATATTGATACATATTTTTGTGCAAACGCAAATATTTAGAATTCATGAATCAGATCCGGCTTAATTATTCCTTGAAGAATATTGGTTTACCTTTGGGCTATCTTTAAAAGGCGGAACGGGGAACGGAAGAATCGGGGAACGGGGGAATCGGGGAACGGGGGAATATCCCATAATAATATCTTAATCAAAAGTCTACGATCATGCCGACAATCGAACACTTTGCGTACATTTCAGTAACAAATGCTTTATCCTTGCTATAACAGTAGTGCTGATTGGAAACTAACACATTGCTTGCATGGTTTCAAATCCCTGTGGACAATGTTGTGCATGTGTAGATAATCCAAGGCAGCCACGGTATCTTTAATGTACACCGGTAAAATATCCGCAAATGCGTTGAAATCGAATTCGCCGTTGAAATAGTGGTAAAAATCCTGCAAATTACACGAATCGCCGTTTACTTTCGATAGATTCTCCCTTGAGTTTCTTGATCACAACTTTACGGGCATTAACTCCATAGTTTGCCAAAAGCACTGTGCCAAAACTCCCATGACCTAAACTCTTGATGGTCTTGCAATAAATTCCAGTCAAAAGACGGTAAGCCATGACTTTTTTTCGGTCGCGTTACAAGACTTGGAACTCAGAAGTTATTGAATAGACCTGACATAGCAACGTCGAAAAATAAAACTATTTTCCCGATTTTTATGTTATTTTCTCTTTAGTCACTGTAACGTCTGCCAAGACATTGGCACGGAAACTACTAACAGATGCTGTAATGCTGTGTTAGCCAAAGGTGTTTGCGGCAAGGCTAAGATTAATGTAATAACCATATTGACAAGTTTCAGTGTCACATTACAGTGTCTGTATTCAGACAAAAGACGCGGAAAGCATAGTAGTTTCCGTACGGAGTCTCAGCGAAACATCAATTGCAATGCGCGCAGTGTAGCCTAATCTGTCTGCGTATATAGTCTGTAGTCTGAAAGAATTTACGCGCCGGAATTTAAAAACTCGTAGACTGCTTTTAAAGATTCCGACTCCCTGCTACTCTTTACTTGTCAAGGATATTAATTAAATCAGTCTCAGATTCGCGATATTCCCCCTTTTAAAGATCTTTAAGAGCAGGAATATTCCATCTTTAAAAGGGGGAATATGGGATATTTGCGATTCTCCCATTCCCAGATTCCCCGTTCCCCCATTCCCCGATTCCCCGTCCCCCCTTTTAAAGATAGCCTTTACCTTTGCTTGATGAATACAAGAAAAAGCTTATCGTCAAGATCGAAAACGTGGTAACCAGAACGAGATGGAAAGCGCATTTTTACCTGGATGAACCAAACGCGAAAGAACAATTTAAATTTGAGGTAAAATCTAAAACGGCACTACCTTTTATCCATGAAATGAAAGCTTTTGAAGACGATCTTGTAAACATGATGGAAAATATTCAGTTCAGAAACGTTTCCGACAAATTTTTAAATAATTTGGATAATGATCTGAAGAAAGTAAAAACGCCGCCAACTGTATTTGTTTTTGCGGACAAAACCAAAAATGTATATAAAACAACTCCAGAGGATTACAATAAAATTGTGAAAGATAACGTAACAAAAACTTATAAACTTACTGACAATGATGTGATAGATGAAATCAATTTTGAACAAATTACAGACAATTAACCTTTCAGTCAGCGATCGTATTGAGTCAATGGCATTAAAAGAAGCATTTGTTACATTAAAAGATGACAAGGAGAATTTTGAAACAAATCCCAAATACCGTCTTATCACCCCAGCAAAGACTGAATTAGGTAATATTAGTAAGATCATCCAGGATGATATTAATACACAAACCAGAAACGCCATACCTGATTGAACCTGTGGGGATATTTTTATCTGTCATTGACTCAGTGGCGCCGCCAGCTCGAAAACAAGCATCATCCTTTTGCAGCGGCGCAAAGAGTTGCAACCTAAGCTTCCAAAAGAAACTGGAAATTTTGAAATGTAACATGAACAATTTGTTGTACAGGTGATGTGAGCTATTCTCGAAGTGTTTCCACAGGAAGCAATTCTTGGCGGGAAAATTTGAGCGTGCGCACGCAATATAGGCTACCATCACGCAAGTAGCCTAACGAACTCGCACGCAATCATACAGGAATTTATTTATCGAGACTTATAAACATCGTCGCCTGATATATATATATATATATATATATATATATATATATATATATATATATATATATATATATATATATATATATATATATATGATAACTTTTCTAAGGTTTGTAGCTGATCTAGTTAAAAACATTTTATTTAAAATAAAAACTAGTAAAATTAAAAACTAAATTTTCGGCTGCGAACTGCAAGCCTTCATCAGAGTAATATATGGCAAGAGTCATTACACCTCTATTTATTATGTTTGTCGTTCCGCTTGATTTCATCTGCTAACATAGAATAACAAGCCGGAAATTCAGTATTTTCATTAGCCGTGTTTTCACTAAGAGTGGAATGTAAAGCCTCTAAGAAAATCCTTTGTTCGTAGTTCTTAACTCCCTTTTCTAATATTACAGCGTCTGATTTTGCAGCGTTGTGACCAGTGCATTCAGCGTGTTCCTTTATTGTCGAAAAAATTTTCTTTCTAACTCCCGGTTTGTGTTCTAACCACCTTGTCGCCCAACATCTCTTTGATTCACCGATATATGTAAATGGACATTCTCTGCATTTGTATACAATAAGACCGTCAGAAGACGGAACAAAACCGTCAGAAGACAGAACAAGTACCAAGACCGTCAGAAGACAGAACAAAAGCTATTGTATACAAATACAAATGCAGAGAATGTCCATTTACATATATCGGTGAATCAAAGAGATGTTGGGCGACAAGGTGGTTAGAACACAAACCGGGAGTTAGAAAGAAAATTTTTTCGACAATAAAGGAACACGCTGAATGCACTGGTCACAACGCTGCAAAATCAGACGCTGTATGTAATATTAGAAAAGGGAGTTAAGAACTACGAACAAAGGATTTTCTTAGAGGCTTTACATTCCACTCTTAGCGAAAACACGGCTAATGAACATACTGAATTTCCGGCTTGTTATTCTATATTAGCAGATGAAATCAAGCGGAACGACAAACATTATAAATAGAGGTGAAATGACTCTTGCCATATACTCTGATTAAGGCTTGCAGTTCGCAGCCGAAAATTTAGTTTTTAATTTTACTAGTTTTTATTTTAAATAAAATGTTTTTAACTAGATCAGCTACAAACCTTAGAAAAGTTATCATGTATTCTACTGATCGCCTCAACAGCATATATATATATATATATATATATATATATATATATATATATATATATATATATATATATATATATATATATATATATATATATATATATATATATATATATATATATTAAAAGATTAAAAGTTTCTTGTCACTAGCTATGTAAAAAACGTAATCACGTTTATAAAAAAGTTTTTACAAGACGTTTCGATCAGAAACCTCCGATCTTCGTCAGTTGATATTAAAAACTAAGAAGCCAATAAACAGGCCTCTATTTATACGGTTCGTTAGCTATTAATTTGGATGCATCAGTGACCCATAAACGTCTGGAATGTTAATATGGTCATTGCCAGAACTTTTGTCCACTTGGGAATACCAAGCCTCAAGGAACAATCGTTTGCGATAATTTTTCTCTCTACTAACTATTTCGGCGTTTTCAAAGTCCATATTATGGTCATATTGCTCAACGTGTTGGGCTATCTTGGAATTCTTATCATTATATTCAACAGCTCTTTTATGTTCTTTTATTCTTGTTTTCAATGCTCGGTTGGTTTGACCATAATAAGTAAAATCACAAGCGGAACATTCAATTTTATAAACGATGTCCCTTGTACGGTTGGTGTCTAATTTATCTTTTGGCTTTGGAAATTCTTGCTGTAATGTGCGAGTTGGTTGGAATGAAACACGAACTTTCTCACGTTGTAATGTTCTTGTAATTCTTTCTGTAACGCCCTTTATATATGGTAGAACAACATAACTAGATGAAACTGTTGATTTTTGCGTTGCATTCACATTTTCGTGCGAACTATTTAATTCCTTGTTTTTGTTTCGCCTCCTGTTATCACAGCTTCTTATGAATTGTAAGGGGTAACCGTAAGGAGTTTCATCAGCATTTAAATTCAATAGACAAGCAAATCCAATTCACCATTGAAGCGGAAGAAAATAATAGATTACCATTCTTGGATACTGTAACAATTAGGCAAAATGGTCAAATTAGGGTTGATGTTTACCGTAAAAAGACGCATACGGACAAATACCTGGATTACACGTCAAATCACCCTCCACAACACAAGCGATCTGTAGTTAATACTTTACTCGATAGGGCAGAGAAAATACCCTCAACAAACCGGGGAAAACGTAGAGAGAGAAAACATGTCCTAAAGGTCCTAAGAGATAACGGTTACCCCTTACAATTCATAAGAAGCTGTGATAACAGGAGGCGAAACAAAAACAAGGAATTAAATAGTTCGCACGAAAATGTGAATGCAACGCAAAAATCAACAGTTTCATCTAGTTATGTTGTTCTACCATATATAAAGGGCGTTACAGAAAGAATTACAAGAACATTACAACGTGAGAAAGTTCGTGTTTCATTCCAACCAACTCGCACATTACAGCAAGAATTTCCAAAGCCAAAAGATAAACTAGACACCAACCGTACAAGGGACATCGTTTATAAAATTGAATGTTCCGCTTGTGATTTTACTTATTATGGTCAAACCAACCGAGCATTGAAAACAAGAATAAAAGAACATAAAAGAGCTGTTGAATATAATGATAAGAATTCCAAGATAGCCCAACACGTTGAGCAATATGACCATAATATGGACTTTGAAAACGCCGAAATAGTTAGTAGAGAGAAAAATTATCGCAAACGATTGTTCCTTGAGGCTTGGTATTCCCAAGTGGACAAAAGTTCTGGCAATGACCATATTGACATTCCAGACGTTTATGGGTCACTGATGCATCCAAATTAATAGCTAACGAACCGTATAAATAGAGGCCTGTTTATTGGCTTCTTAGTTTTTAATATCAACTGACGAAGATCGGAGGTTTCTGATCGAAACGTCTTGTAAAAACTTTTTTATAAACGTGATTACGTTTTTTACATAGCTAGTGACAAGAAACTTTTAATCTTTTAATATATAAATATGAATCCTAGCTGCAATTTTAGCATTTTTCGTCATATATATATATATATATATATATATATATATATATATATATATATATATATATATATACCGGGTGTCCCAAAAAAAAGTACTCCTGTTTGATTCGTAATAACTTCTAAACAAGTAAAGCTTTTAAAGAGAAATAACTTGCATTAAATAGAGGAAGGACTAACTTAGAGTTTGATATATGACAGTTGTATTTAACTTAAAAATTCACGGAGATATTAATGTTCAAAATCGGGAGCATATTTTGGGATGTGTCTAAAATTAGCGAAAATCGGCATATCAAATATTAACTCCAGCGTTTGTTTGCTTAATGACATATCAGGCTAACTTGTATTTCAGCGAATTATCGTTAGGGTTTGTAAGAGATATGGCGTAGATTTAGACATCTTACATGTAAGTCTTAGCTCATTGTTTCCTGAAATATGAACGTTCGAAATTATGCAAGTATTTAATATTAGGTCTTTACAAACTTAAATGTACTCGAAAGACTGACCATGGAAGGCAGGCGCTTAAATTTTTCGTATTCTTAAGTAGATTATTTCTCGGTTAGAGTACTAACTGAGTAGATTATTTCTCGGTTAGAGCAAGTTGAATATTATTCTTTATTGAAGGAAATAATATTGCTTTTTTTATTTTTGCAAATACACATCACCGTATCAACACTACTATTTTGTTACGTTTTGTTCCAAAAATGTTGCATGTCTCTGGGGAGTTGCTTAATTGTTATGTCTTATGGAGTTGTATGGTTTGACTGTGTTTCATATAATTCTCAGTTTACTCTGAACTTGCCAAGATTAAGAAAAGGCAAAAGAGTTTGGGTGTTCTTAACAAGATTTCAGAACGTTGCAGAAGTTAGAAGAGCTTCACAATTCCGTTGTGACAGCATGCCCTAATTCAGAACTACGAACGATCCATGACGATCCTTCGCGATGCAGTGGTCTCATGAAATAAGGAAACGTATTCGTGCTGGGAACACATGCGGATTTCGGACGAATAAATCTTGCTTTTATTTTGTAGATAATAATACTTTGTTTCATAATAAACGATTTGTCAAGTGTCATTTATTTACTGGTAATAGTGCATGTTTCAGTCGGGCAAATCTTGATTAATATTTGATACGCCGTTTTTTGCATATTTCAGACACATCCAGAAATATGCTCCCGATTTTAAAGATTAATATCTCCGTGAATTTTTCAGTGAAATACAACTGTAATATATCAAAATCTAAGTTAGTCCTTCCTCTATTTAATGCAAGTTATTTCTCTTTAAAAGCTTTACTTGTTTAGAAATTATTACGAATCAAACAGGAGTACTTTTTTTGGGACACCCGGTATATATATATATATATATATATATATATATATATATATATATATATATATATATATATATATATATATATATATATATATATATATATATATATATATATATATATATATATATATATATAGTGCGACTACTTAAGTAAATGAACTTACTGCTTGATTTTGTTCTTGTATTGCTTTTTCGACACTTTTTATTTCTGATCGGCATCCAGCTGGACAGTTTCTTGAAATTGTACGTTGCCCCTAGATAGTTGAAAACGTTCCACTGTATTATTTTAAAATATTTTTAATTTTTTTGCTTTTAAATGCCCAAAACGGGTCAACGGGTATACTGAATTGCTAACAAAGGGACCAAAAGGAACAATGCTATAGATGGGTTGTTCACTACGTATGTTGGAAAAAGCTGCTTGCCCGTAGATTTGAAAGATATACTATATATACAGGAAATTACACGGCGGCGCGAAGATGTGACTTTTCATCTTCGAGTGGTGAAAACAATATTTTACGAACGTGCGCAGCGAGTGAGTAAAATACTGTTTTTAACACGAGAAGATAAAAGACATATCTTCAAGCCACCGTGTAATGTTCTGTTCATTATATAGTCCAAGCAAAAAATTGTATAAATACCAAAAATCACGTGATCGATATTTTCACTGGTGAAGATATGAAAAATATATCACTGTGTATTTTTCAGTATTTCACTCTCTACTATATAATATATATATATATATATATATATATTTATATATATATATATATATATATATATATATATATATATATATATATATATATATATATATATATTATATAGTAGAGAGAGATAAATGAACGAACAATCCGAGCGTTAAAAGTTATTTATATCGCTATCCGTCAAATAAACTGCATGCACTCTGGCAGTAAAAGCATTACTTTGTACTATACTCTGGCAATTTAATATATGACTTAAGGAAAAAAATTAAATAGATCCCTTGCCGTGTTAAACCCGTTGGCAGAAAAATGTATTTTAAAGCTCGATCGAAAGAGGACATATTGTGAACACTGGACTGGACTTTGGACTGGACTTTGGACTATGGACTATGAACTTTGGAGTTTGAACTTTGGACTATGGACTTTGGACTTTCGATTTGGAAATTATATTATTTCTAAGATTTTCGTATAATTATATTAATTCAAATCTAAACAGAGAACGAAAGTTTGTGCATGATATAATATTCAAGGTAAAAAATACTATCAGTTATATAGGTATACCAGTGCAATTTCATAGATATAGCCTGTGGGATAACAGCCGGATCATCTCAGTAATATTTTTTATTTAATATTTAAATTTTATTATACTATTTGCATTTATAGTATGTATAGTACAGTTTATACTGCACAACTTCTTCTTTATCGTATAGATAATAGATTTATTGAAACAATTGTGACAAAAGTATCTTGGCAAATACAAAATATTGAGAAACTATATCACGTATAAGTATAAACTACACGCGATTATTATTGCGCCTTTGGTTTTTATGCTTTGAACAATTATTCGCCGAAGCCAGGCCAGGCCGTGATTATCGGGAAATTTATCATAGTGAAATTTGACCAATCAACTTGACAACTTGTATGATTTGTTATATATTTATTCACTTGCGCAAAAATACTATTAAATGCATGACGGTATTGTTCATCTCAACCTCGTTCCAAGGGTCTCTCCTTTCCCAAAGAAAGATCCTGGGTACGAGGTTGTGTTCATCTTTGCATAATAGTTTACACTGGCTTAGCGCCTGCCTAAATAGGCTGTGTTTACAATGTATAGTACCTTTGTCTGTGTCAGTTTTAGCTTTTCATAAATGTATTCAGCCATTTAAATTTCGACACAGAACGCGAAATATCGATGTTTGAATTACCGCCGTGATTGCGCTCTGTAGCCGCATCATATCGTCAAAATCGATATGTTTTCATTGGGAAGATTTTCTGGTTTTCTTCCGTTTTATAGTGCATGCATATTCTGGTATAATTTACTGTACTGTACCTCTGATCGTGTTGTCAGAAATGCGTCAAAAAGTTATATTTGGCGGTGATCAGAGGGCGTTGATAAAGTGCAATTTCATATCCGGTTTCTTGTTCGCTCTCGATGCATGCACCTGTTCCTCGATCTGTTTGATTATTTTGTCCATAAATACCACTGATCTAATAATACACTGGATATAGCTTCTATACCTATCAAAAGTGAAGCCAACTCGCAAGCGTGCAAATTTACTTCCGGATACCCAAAGGAGCGATAATTAATATGGCGTTATATGGAGAAATGTGATGTCGAAGCAAATATTTTGTAAATATGAGCCGTTTTCGTAACGCGATCATGCTTATTTGTGCTTCTTATGAAAGATGAGTGTCTTATGATTAATTTGTAGCAAAATTGCTGCCTGTTACGCTTACACATCGCTCTAGAATTTGTTTGAAGAGTGGCATGTTTATGGTCCCGAGTTGTGGTTTATGCTCCCGAGTTGTGGTTTATGCTGTCTACGAGTTTAAAGGATTATAATACTAAAGTACTTCTGGATTTTACAGGCGCTAAGGAATCTTTTTTTCTTATAGACAATTAACGGCACCGAAGTTACGACGCATATTATATCTGTTTACTGTTTTCATTTCTAATATAGTTACACTTAGTATAGGTATCAATATAATTATTACTTACAGTAATAAATATGCAGTGGCAGTTTATGTACAATATTTACATTTAATAAACTTGATTGCTTGGCTATTAGTGTGGTCGAATTATTCAAGTAAATAGAAATCTAAGGCTTGTATTCTAAAAGCGCACTGATACTCACTGAGTGGGAGATCACAATCACCTTATCACCATTACAAGACTTATAAATTTGCACTCGTTTGAAAGTTTGTTTTTGATTATTTTACTAAAAGTCTTGCTATTGATTGAGAAAGGATTCTATCATTGATCAGCAGAAATGCGATTTCCGTTTCACATGCACTCAGTGAGCTTGTAGAATACAGGCGTAAATCTAGATTTAATGTTTATTGTGAAGGATTCACTGATGTTCAAATAACACTAATTTGGTTAACTTCTTCCTAACTCTATTTGTAGATAACTTGTCTGTGTATGATTTTGCAAGATGGTGAAAACGAACCTTGCAGTAGCATTGCGAGATTGTCTTGGAACCAGTGGCAGACACTTATATATTAAAATATTTGACAGATAAATTTTTGTTGCTGATTTTCTCATGTCATTCAGTTGCTTCATATCAATTCTCAGAATTGTCATTCCTCAAAATTTATGTTAACCTTTTTTGGATGAAACTCTATCAGAGATAAATGTAATGGTGTGCAGAGCTACTAAGCCATTACAGCAACTGGTCTTGCTATACAATTTTTTAGCAATTTGAATTATTCAAGTATTTAGAAATTTATTGTCTTTGGACTGCTTAAGTTTGCATTTATTACCACAGCACAACCAGTTGCTATGGCTAGCTCCAGCACTGATTAGACTGACAAGGAGTCACCCCAGTTTACCCTCCCAAATGTCAGTGACATACCAAGACCACTCTGGGTGGGGGATGTTCCTGTACAGCCTTTTCACATTACAGACTAACTCAACATTTTTATCCATTTACTGACCAGTTTCAATCAATATATGGACAAGTCACATTTTCAACATAATCTCTGTTTAATTAACAAGAGTTTTTCAGAAAGTGGGGGTGCCATACCCACACCCATCCAGCTCGGTATGACCCTGTGTCTGCCACTCCTTTTTGGAATATGACTAATAAATATCAAGCTAATATAAAATTCTAAACAGCATCTATAGATTTTTCATTCTATTCAATGTCTTTTCTTTCATTACAGGCCTAAAAAATAAAGCTATGTTTCAGTCATGGTTAATATCAGGGTCCCCACGCCCTTGAAAATCCTGGAAAGTCCTTGAATATGAACAAAAATTCCAGGCCTGGAAAGTCCTTGAAAATTGATACAGTCCTTGCAAGTCCTGGAATTTTATTTCAGTTGGGCTGGTAATAGTTGAAGGATGCCTAAATTACTCATTTTCTTCAATTTCAATAAAAATTAAGTATGATAGTCCAAAACAAGTTTACTGTATTAAGAACAATGAATTAGTATAGTACATGACATTCTTGCTTTCCTCGAGTTTAGTAGCAAGCCTTAGGTAATTTTCAAATATTTGTCCGTTCCTAGGTCCTTGAAAGTCCTTGAAAATTGATAAGGTCCTTGAAAATCCTGGAAAAGTCCTTGGATTTTATATAAGCCCCGTTTACACAAGCACATTTATTTGACAAATTTCATTGTGACAAATGCATTTGATCAAAAGCTAACATGCTAGCTTTTGATCAAATGCATTTGTCACAATGAATTTGTCACAAATTTATCATCTACACCAGCAAAATATCTTTGACATACGAAATTTTTCAAATAAAATTTGCTCGTGTAAACGGGGCTTTGATTAAAAGGTGGGAACAATGTAATATTTATACCACATGTCGTTATAATTATACACTGATTCATAAAGAAAATAACAAAACGAACAACATATCACATATTACGAAACATTTCCAGTGGCAGTGTTACTGTTTTTAGATTACAGAGTTGGAATTATAGGCAAAATAACACTATTAACACACAATGTTGTAAACTCAAATGCTCTTTTTATCTTTTTTTTTTTTATTTAAGTTCGCCCAAAACATTACAAAAGATAATATAGTGCTATTTAATATTTACAAATGGGCTAGGAGCCTACTAGAAACCATATGGCTTTTATTTTAGGCCCCTAGATTATGAATTAAGAATTAAAAATAATAATTAATATAATGTCAGTTCGAATATTTTTTAAAGAAAATACAAAGCAAAGCATATATTAATAATATATAAAAATAGTTAGGATGTATATTTACAATACAATTTTGATATTGTATATTATTGCAGGAATATGACAGGTTGTATATCAATCTAGCTGTGAGAAGTAGTTTTTGATCATTTTTTTGAAGGAATCATAAGACCTTGGTTTTTCATATTGTTCAGAAAGATTATTCCATACTTCTATACCTTTATTAGCAAGACTATGTTTTGCATAGTTGGTTCTGCTGGAGTTTTTGTGTAGCAATGAAGAATTTCTTGTGTTGTGATTGTGAATTTCCTTATTAGTAAAGAAATAATTTGTGAATAATTCTGGTAGATTTTGTAGATGGAAATATCGGAACATGAATAAACTTGTTAAATAATCATTAATTTTTTGTAGATTGAGTATTTGTAATAAATTAAAGATTGGTTCAGAATGATCAAAATAAGATTTGAAAGTCATTAATCTAACAATTTTTTTTTGAATATTGACTAACTTTTGAATACGAGATTTATAGGTGTTTCCCCAGATTAAATTATCTTTTTATCTTTGAAAACAAGTATTAAACCGTTATTTCTTACGGCGTAGAATATTGTCCTCACCATGATAAGAAGAAAATCCAGAAGCAGTTTAGTATTATAATCCTCTTCATTATTATTTAAAACTCCTCTTCATTATTAAACTCGTAGACAGCATAAACCACAACTCGGGACCATAAACATGCCACTCTTCAAACAAATTCTAGAGCGATGTGTAAGCGTAACAGGCAGCAATTTTGCTACAAATTAATCATAAGACACTCATCTTTCATAAGAAGCACAAATAAGCATGATCGCGTTACGAGAACGGCTCATATTTACAAAATATTTGCTTCGACATCACATTTCTCCATATAACGCCATATTAATTATCGCTCCTTTGGGTATCCGGAAGTAAATTTGCACGCTTGCGAGTTGGCTTCACTTTTGATAGGTATAGAAGCTATATCCAGTGTATTATTAGATCAGTGATAAATACAGTATGTGCTTGTTTGTTTTAAATAATTTTCAATGAGGAAACATCGAAACAGCACCTATAGACAAAGTGCCAGTGCAAATAGATGAAACCATTTTACTACAGCACAGTGTTTATGTTGGTGTCAAATTTATGTCGTTTCGAATGTCGGATTCCTTGCAGCAATTCCTTTCGTTTTCTCCATCTTCTAGCTGGATCTCGTGCTCATCATCATCGTCGTCTGCTTCGCTTCCATCGTCGCTTTCTGTGTCTTCTGCCTCGTCTTCGTTCTCCTGCAAAGTCGCTCTCAGATCGTGGTTGAAAACAGCCTCGTTCGCTACCTTGCAAGGACCTCGAGCTTTGTCAGCAATGTCGACTGACAAATCTGGCAAACACTTATGTCAGGCAAAACACATTCAATGTGGAAAGAATGACCACAACCACGAAATACTTTCCACAAGGGACTTTCTTTCTCGCATTCAGGTAAATCGCATTTTCTATGACGTAAATTAAAGTAAGTTAATACTTGTAACTATTTAGACTGTCTGTCCGAATCTTTGTTTCAAGAATTTTAAATGTCTGTTTGTAGGTCCCTTTTCTTTCATTTTGTATGGAATTAATGAAATTTTTTATCAATCCTTCAGTTTTTACATACACCTTGCATAGTGTTTTCTAAAAATCTAAAATTGGAACAATATAATTAGAATAATTTGGGTACATTTTCAAACATTCTTTTATTTTGTAACAAGTACTATATTTTTATGTAATTCCCCTTTGAATGTGGAAAATGGTTAAATAAGAAGGATAAGTAGATATAATGTTAATTGTGTATGTTTGAGTTTAACCATTAAACCACAATAACATGCACTGCTGTCAGACAATTGTACTCGACATCTAGGTGAAAGTCTTGTGGTTTAATGGGTTAACCAAACAATCTGCCAGTATGTTTTGTTAACCCATTAAGATACAATGCACCCTACTGTATTATGTCTGACACCAGACGATCTTACTCGTCAAGTGGAGAGAGTTGCACTTTAATTTTGTTTGACAGCATTCATAAACAGAATACTGTGAGAATGTCCCCCCCCCCGCCATATTCCATATAATAATGTTTTTGCCTTTACCTGTTCGGATTTGGAGCTTGTTGAACAGAAGTAAAGCCTAGTGGCAGGACATGATTGTTCACAATTTTTTCTCCAAATAGAGTTGGCAGTTTCCATTTGGTCAGATCTGGATATTTGGGTTGCCGTCGAACTCGGGGTTGCCATGTTAGGGTGGTCATTTGGGATTCAAAGAAATTTTTCAGCCTTTGCCTTCAACGTATTATTATAATTCTCTTTGAGTTGTAGTTGAATATCTTAATTGGCACAAAGACAGACTTAAAAGAATGCAGTTTATGCTTGCATGCATCAATCTCTTTTGCTTTGAATGCAATCTGGTCAGCTAAATCTGTTTCTTTTGTTCTTGCTCTTAGGACTGAGTGGAAATTTTCGACGGGATATTAATCGAATGCCACAATATACTGTCGCACGGTTTCAAACATGGAGTGGGTATTTTCTTGCCAGTGTTGAAACAGGGTTGGGGGGGGGGGCATGCTCACAGTATCTGGTTGTGAATGCTGTCAAACAAAATTAAAGTGCAACACTCTCCCTCTAACGAGTAAGATCGTCTGGTATTAGACATAGTAAAATAATAAAGTAGGGTGCGTAGATTGTTTGGTTAACCCATTAAACCACAAGACTTTCACCTAGATGTTGAGTAAAATTGTCTGACAGCAGTGCATTTTATTGTGGTTTAACCCATTGAGTCGCATTGCACCCCGATGCGCCCTACTTTAGTATTTTACTCTGTCTAACACCAGATTATTTTGCTCTGTCTAACGCCAGACGATTTTACTCGTCAAGGGGAGAGCGCTGTCTCTTAATGGGTTAACTGGCCTATCTGCCTGTGTGTCTAGTTAACCCATTGAGTCGCATTGCACCCCGATGCGCCCTACTTTAGTATTTTACTCTGTCTAATGCCAGACAATTTCACTCGTCAAGGGGAGAGCGCTGGCACTTGATGGCCGGTCAATGGTTAAACTCAAACATACAAAATTAACATTACTTATCCTTCTTATTTAACCATTTTCCACATTCAAGAAAAAATTAACTGAAAATATAACATAAAAATATAGTATTTGTTACAAAATAAAAGACTGTTTGAAAATGTACCCAAATTATTCTAATTATATTGTTCCAATTTTAGATTTTTAGAACACACCATGCAAAGTGTATGTAAAAATTGAAGGATTTATAGAAAATTTCATTAATACCATACAAAATGAAAGAAAGGGACCTACGTCCTACAAGCAAACATTTATAATTCTTGAAACAAAGACCTAAAAAACAAAAAAAGCAATTCGGACAGACAGTCTATCTATAAATAGGTTACAAGTAACTTACTTTTGCTTTATTTACGTCTTAGAAAATGCGAATTAATTACCTGAATGCGAGAAAGAAAGCCCCTTGTGGAAAATATTTCGTAGTTGTAGTCATTCTTTCCACATTGAATGTGTTTTGCCTGACATAAGTGTTTGCCATATTTGTCAGTCGACATTGCTGACAAAGCTCGAGGTCCTTGCAAGGTAGTGAACGAGGCTGTCTTCAACCACGATCTGATAGCGAATTTTTAGGAGAACGAAGACGAGGCAGAAGACATTGAAAGCGACGACGAAAGCGAAGTAGACGACGATGATGATGAGCACGAGATCCAGCCAGAAGATGGAGAAAACGAAAGGACAATCGATACATTGCTGCAAGGAATCCGACATTGGAAACGTCATTGACACCAAGATAAACACTGCGGTGCTGTAGCAAAATGGTTCCATCTATTTGCACTGTCACTTTGTCTATAGGTGCTGTTTCGATGTTTCCTCGTTGAAAATTGTTTAAAACAAACAAGCACATACTGTATTTATGGACAAAATAATCAAACAGATCGAAGAACAAGCGCATACATCGAGAGCGAACAAGAAACCGGATATGAAATTGCACTTTATCACCGCCCAATGATCACCGCCCAATATAACTTTTTGACGTATTTCTGACAACACGATCAGAGGTACAGTACAGTAAATTATACCAGAATATGCATGCAGTATAAAACGAAGAAAAACTACAAAATCTTCCCAATGAAAACAGCGTTATTTCGATTGGTTTTGACGATATGATGCGGCTACAGAGCGCAATCACGGCGGTAATTCAAACATCGATATTTCGCGTTCTGTGTCGAAATTTAAAAAGTCCCACGACAAAATTCAAGATATATGTATTTTCTGTTAGAATCTTTCGGTTTTGGGTAAAAAAAGTTTATATTGTAGCTCACGGAAGCCTTAGATTACGATAATATTTTCTCACTCTATTTGTTTACGTTTTTAAATTTTAAGCATTCTGATTGGTCGAGAACGAAAATGTAAACAAATGCGCTGATTGGCTTAGAACGAAATCTGCCCTTGTTGTCATAGTCGTCATATTTTATAAAATACGAATTGAATGTATGATACATTAATTGGTACTACTGATTACTTTATGTATATAGTATTACTTTATATAGGCCTACTATTTATGTCTATATTATTGGCTATATGGCTCTTTTGCGTACGTTATGCTGGTCATTAATCTTTATACTACGATTACGATTCCCGCCTGGTTCATCACTTGCAAGTGGTAGTATTACAGTAAACGTGGAAAATACTGAGTTGCTAGACTACCTGAAGCACATAGACATAGATTTTTGCCTTCTCACACACAACTGAGTAGGTCTTAGAAAGTGTGTAGATTTCCGTTCGAATATTCCTGTCCATCTACTAACATTTATTAATAATAACTGAAGCACTTAGTCTTAGTGATAAGGATAGCTACCTATAGAATGTCTTTCAAAAATATGTAACATTAACAAAACGTTACCGTGTAACGGAGTAAACAATTACAAAATACAGTACTAGTATAAACTATTATTCAAAGATGAACAGTCAATAGATACATAGGCTAATACAATATTCAATAGGCGCAATAATAATCGCTTGTATAGTTAATATTTTGTATTTGCCGAGACACTTTTGTCACAATTGTTTCTGAAGTTAATCTATTATCTAAGCTATATATTAAAGAAGAAGTTCTGCAGCATAAACTGTACTATGGTCTATGGATACTGTAAATACAAATATTATATAAAATTTAAATATTAACTCCCAAAATGTTGAATAATCCTGCTATCTTGCAGGCTATATATCCGTATGAAATTGCACTGCTGCATATATAACTGATACTGAGTTCTTTTTACCTTGTATATTATATCATGCATGTGCATGCAGTGTACTATGAGCACGCTTTTCAGCAGCAAATTTTCGTTCTCTGTTTAGATTTTAATATAGAACCATTGCACTGACGTCACAAATCCTTGGAGTGTCCTCAAGATGCTCCCCAACAATATATGTTCGGGTACAACAACCACATACAGCGCAAAAATTTACCATTTTAATACAAAATTATTATAAAATTTTACAAAATTTGCTTTGTTTACAAAAGTTATATAATGCAAAGATTGCTAATTTGTCCTCCAGATTCGTCGTCACCGGCGCTGTGACGTCGTTCGTGTGCAATAGGTCTATAATTATACGAAAATGTAAAAAATAATATAATTTCAAAATCGAAAGTCCAAAGTCCAAAGTCCATAGTCCAAAGTCCAAACTCCATAGTCCAAAGTCCATAGTCCAAGGTCCATAGTCCAAAGTCCATAGTCCAAAGTCCATAGTCCAAAGTCCATAGTCCAAAGTCCAAAGTCCAGTCCAGTGCTTAATTCGTGTTATTATGATATGATTTGTCGAAACACAATAGGGAAAGTATTCTAACGTTTGCATAATCATAATTTGACTGCCAGGAAAAAGTAAACAAGGCAAGGGTCTGTACTTTGCAATGGAGATACGGTAAAATAATACGACACATACAGCACGCCTTGCCTTATTCTGCATGTTTAAATACTTGTATCTGTTATACATTTTACACTTTGCCCTTTGAATATTTATATTTTAGCCGACTTGAAGGGTTACACTCTTATGACAGAGCAATGTATTAGTGTGTGCGATGCAGTTTATTTTTGTTGTGATTATTTAATTTTTTTATTAAAATTAGCTTACATGTTGTTACCCTGAGAGCAGAGGCTGATTTTCCCTCGCATAGAAAATAAGGCTCTGCCGTTTTTGTGTTTAATTTGTGTCGCGCATGCTCTGCTTCCAGTATTATGTCAAAACATGTCAAATATCACTTGTATTTTTAGAATGATTGCTAAATTTAGAGAACCAATCGCATGCAGCTAATCGCTACATGCTGGGCGCGTGTAATTGCATGTGCTGTACAATTACGACAATATAAACAGTACAAAAACATTGTCAGTTGTGAAATCAAACTATTACTATATTTTTACATTTGCTAACTTGCTAGTTTATTTTATCCTACGTTACTTTTCAGTATATTTAAGTTACTGTCAGCCAAATTTCGGTTCAGTATAAAGTATAAAGTTTTAAATTTTGTAAATATACAGGGTGTATAAAAAAAAACTGAACAGATTTGAAATTGCTCTCAATTTCGCAAAACACCTACTTGTATCCGGTTTTTTTATATATATAGCTTCTTTGGGTACCTATAATGTAGAATAACGAAAAAATTTTCTTGAACTCAAGTTTTGTGAACCAGGGGTCTTTTCCAACAAACTAAAACTGGCTCGCGCACAAAATTTAAAAGTTGTAATCGTATTTTGAGTTAATAGATGGAAAATTTGTCGAGTTTTTAATTACTGTACAAAATTTCGAACAATTTGGTTTAGTTTAAGCCCTTTTACTATTCACGCAAAGTTACGTTTTTTCTAAATTAAAGATCAGCTATTTGCACAACCTCATTCCTAGGGCTTTTCCCTTTTTGTTGCATGCCCATATATGGGCATGCAACTTTCATATAGCTCTAAATTTCGTGTCGCGGTGTGCGTACGGGCGGTGGTAAATCACGTGACAGATTCGTAAAATACGACAAATACCGAGTCAGTCCGACGAGCATTTTCATGTGATGAGTGAAACTTTAGGTAATGGCAATTGCTAGATAGTATACTTCAAAATAAGATTTCCGTTTTTTTATTAATTTTTAAAATAATTAAAATAAGTTAGAGTTAGGTTAGGGTTTAGGTTAGGGTTAGGGTTAGGGTTAGGTTGGGGTTAGGGTGAGGGTTAGTATTAGGGTTAGGGTTTAGTTTTGCGTTAGGATAGTTTTTACTACGTTATAAAAACGGAAACCTTATTTTGAAGTATACTATCTAGCGATTACCTTTAGGTAATATGCACGCTTTTGTTCACGGCTTTCGTCGAGGAAACGCAAAGAAAATATTCTTTACGGAATTTAAGGCCTTTAATAGAAAAATAGATCGAGGTAGGTAAAGCTTTGTTGTTTTTAATTTAGCTTATATTCTGTTATTTGTTATTATTTTGGTGCCGTTGTGCTGGCACTGATATTTATTTATCAATTATCGGCATTATCAGGCGTTTATGTTTGTGAAAGGCCACGCTGTCAAAATTTTAATTTTTTATATGCCCAAATTGAAACGAAGCCATTGTGCTAGCACTGATTATATTGTGTGTACAACTTCAAATTTCAAAACTACATCACATTTTGTAAATATTAACATGAACTATTGTCTACTGAAATTTAATACAACGAAATAGCATTCTACTTCGATAATTTCAATCATAGTCGAGATCATAGTTTAATAATTATTTTCAATCATTATACTAATTCACGGTTTCCACGGTTTTTTATACTTTCAGTAAGCCAGAATAAAGCTAAATTTTTAGGAAAATATAAACATTGTTTACTTCGAATAGTCAATCAGTGATAAAACCTTGACCTGTTGACCTTGATATTACCGTCCCTTGCAACTACAGATGAACAGTCGCGAAAAGTTTGAAAAAGGTTTGTTATTTTGACATAATAGCTATTTTTCAATAAATATATTGATGTTAAATTTATTGAATCAATATGTTAAGTTTCAGGCCAGTTGTACCAAAATTTATAAGCGCTTGCGCACCATAAAGGTGGATTTCCACTCAGTGCAAAATGTCGCGCGATCGACATTTTGCGATCAATTTCTTCTGAAATACTAATACCGAGGGCCTGATACTCAGGTTACTGAAATACAAGCAATCAAACGCAGCGGTCAGGTTGACTGAACGTGTTTCAAAAGAAAGTGATCGGAAAAAGTTGATCTTGCGATATTTTGCACTGAATGGAAATCGGTCTGAAGGCTTTAGTCACAGAATAGATACTAGACCAGAAGGGACACTCCTATGTGTAATGTGTTTTGGCTTGGGAAAAACATCCGAAATTTTTTATGTGCTATGAAGCCATCCTGGAGTGCACACAGCACTTTGTACCTATGTTTGTACCCATGAAAAACTTCTGTGGTGCACTCCAGGATGGCGTCATATGATGGCGTATTTCACATCAGCACTCGTCGAGTGACACTTCTGGTCCATTCTCTATTCTGTGCTTTAGTTGTCCTACGATTTATCACGATGAGATACATTTCACTACACTTTACATGGCGGATCTCGGAACACGGGCGGAGCCACTGGGTGAAGGAGCGCGGGCGGAAAAGGGTGAAGGGAAGGAAATGCAACTAAAGCCTCTGCAGAAGAAAGAGGGCATGCAACATGTACGCACTGCGTACCTATTTTTGTCATTGGGAAGGCATGAAAAGGCCCTGGCACCGGCCGGTCTTCTATGTATTCTGATTGGTCAATGACAAGAACATTATTATGCAAATAATGCAATCTTGGGTTAATTTATTCAAACTTTGGGATAAATTAACATTTTCACGCAAGGAGTGTCCATTATTAATACTTTGTCCGTCTAAGAAATATTTTTGGCAAAATCTGTGGCAAAATGGTTAAATTCGATAAGATTTATACACAATTTGTTGATGGTTAGTATTATTGTTTGTTTTAATCTGTGAGAGAAGATTAATTGTGTACTAGAACACACCTCTGAGGCTCTGACCGAGTATTTAGGGCAAAATGTGCCTTCATAATTGGCTTCGTATAGCGTTATTAAATGTTTAAATATATAAAACTAAAGTCTGGGTTTATATAAAACTGAAACATAACCTTTAGTTTTTGATATTCTTCATAGTCGAGTTTAAACTGGCCTAATTTATAATTAGTTACCACTAGAAATGCGACGATATTTTGTTATATCATATATGCAACAGTGTTTACAAATTTTGAATAATTGCTGCACACTATTCTTAACATGAAGTATTGCGTGTCTGTGTTTATTTGTGTCCAGTCTCTTTGGCCGAGTTATAATTTGTGTTTGTCTGTTTATAAATATGTCGTAATTCCGGGGAAATAATTAAGGCTTCAGGAAGTTTTTTTAAACGAGGGGGGGCGGTCAAAATTTATTTTGTATTGCGCTCGCATGATATATGTTGGATTTTCACAAATCGACAATATTTCGAATAAATTCAGGTAAGGATAGCTTTATATATTTCTTTCTGGTGATATTACATGAAGGCATTTATATTTAGATCGAATGTTTAGCATTCGATATGAGGTATTTGAAACAATAGATCGTCTTTTTAATATATTTAGGAGTCAAGATGATGTACTTTTGGTTTTATATTTGTTTGTGTGGCGATGTGCCAAGGCGATGAGTTTAGTGTTCATTTTAGATGTTCATTGACATAGCAATTTGCTTTCAGAACGTTTTAAAAACAAACACTGAATAGCCGTTTTCACATTAGAAGACGGACAAGTCGTCTAGACGAACAAATCGTCTCAAAATCGTCTTTTAGTCGAACAAATCATCAGATGTGAAAACGTGTCGGACAAAATTATGTTAGACGAACAAGTCGTCTGAATTTGGTCGACTGCTTGTCCGTCTGTGAAGACGATTTTTGAGAGACGATTTGTTCGTCTAGACGACTTGTCCGTCTCTAATGTGGGCTAATGTTGTGTATATTTTGTAATGTAAAGATATTTCCTATAGCAAGCGACAGACGACAATGTGGATTGTTGTCTGCTTACCAGCAGTTTAATAGCCTACATGCATGCATGTATTAATAGAACATGTCAAGCGATTTTTGTACAAGGTATGGCCTAGGTCTGTAAAAATATATCTCCGAAATATGTCCATTGTTATTAGCATAAATATGAAATAATCCTACCGGCCTATATTCATATATTCACCCTGGTTGTGTGCCTGTGTCACTATACATTTCATGGTACACTATATTTTTCAATAATGCTAACAAATTCTTTCCTATTATATAGCTTTGCAGTTCTGACTGAGCACAATCTTAGTCATTACAAATGAATTGTGTCATCTGAAGCAGACGTATTAAACAAAAATGTCAACAAATAGATTTTGTCTCCCCATCAGCAGATTATTCAGTTGTTCTGTGAACGTTGCCTTGAATAAGGTGCCATTAAAATGATAATTGGGACAAAAACTGACTTACTTCTATATATGAAATTGTTATTAAATTCTACATGTCCAATGATTCATTCAAGTATTATTATTGTTTATACATATATGATATTGTACAGTATTCAATGGCAAGCTAGCCATGGCAACTGGTCATGCTATCATACGCTAATAAACCTACAATGCAAATAATTAAAAACTTGCATAGCATGACCTGTTGCTATGGCTTGCTTCAGCACTGACAGTATTATAATTATACATACAAAAGCAAGAAGCTATTAGCATTGCAGGTATTCATATAAAATCACCGGTACCATGCCAACAAAGTAGAAATAGAATATTTAGCTGACCTTCAACATTGTGCAAGGTGTTTGGTATTCAAAATGCACTTTTCCTACCCCATGAACAGGTCTTTGGGGCTGTTTACATGATGGAAGGTGGGATGATTTTGAATATTGAAATAAGTCACTAGGCCAAATGAAAGTTCAAATGCTGGTTAACAGAACTGAAATGTTGTAGACCATGACTTATTTCAATACATCGAAATCACCCTGCCTCGTATCTCGTCCTGGTAAAGCAGGATCATATAAACATCCCCTTATTCAGCAAATTGTACATGCTGGCTTTGATCCATTGGGGATGAGGCAGCACTCTCCTTGCGATAGTAACTTCTAGCATGTGATTTAGTTTTGTTACCACTTATTACATGTTGCTTCATTTTACCATAAATTGTGTTAAAAAAGTGATTTGCTCATTTGGCTGATGTTACAGTTTTTTTATGTGTTTTGTTTGGATGATATTAGAACAATTTCAATATGAAAGTGCAGGTGTCTTTAGACATGATCCATAATGTATATATCAAAATACTAATAAAATCCGTTTCCAGCTTGATTGTACTTGCATTGTTGCAGACAAAGTTGTGAATGGTGGGCTTATATGTCACATACTCGTATGTAATTCCATGTGCCTGCATGTACTTTGATGCTTCGAATGTGTAATAAAGGGCTGTTCGCAGGAGTTGGGCTGTCTGACCTTAAATTGCATTGTTTTTGATATTTTAAAATTGTATTCACATGGCTGGACCATCCTGCCATTGCCACAATGTCTGATGTTCAAACAGGCTTTAAAATCAGGTTACAATGCATGCTTGAAAATATGCAACAATTTCACTGCTAATAATATTCCAGGAAATCCTGCCTCTTTGGCAGATCTGGACTGATTTGTCAGAGGGGAGTTGGAGGTTTTCTACTTGTAATCAGGCAAGGGGAGCTAGCCAAGGGTGCTGGGTCAGAGTCAAACCCATGTGAACAGCTTTTAAGTCCTAATTATATTGATAAATTATGTACACTTTGGGATGGTAATGCAATTTGTAAAATATTCCACATTTTATTTAGTAAAATTTAATTATATACATTGTTTTGTTGTTTATATTAACACCTTGGACAGTGTATATTTACATCTTTGGACCATGTAAATAAACACCTTTGGAGGGTGTACCCATTCTAAGCCAAAGAGGTTTAAGAACAATTATCAAGGTATTTGCATGATAAAATATATTTAAAACTGCTCTCCATATACATGTAATGCATGGTTCAATTCTTGCTTTTACCAAGTAAACCCAGGGATTTTCAATGTCCCCCTCCTCCTGTAGAACTACTTGAAGTGACTGGGGCAAGGTAGCTATAAGTATAAGTAGGTATATAAAAGTAAATTAAAATTTACAAATAGATTTTTGAATATAGACCATTGCAATTTTTTTTAAATTTGTTTAACCCTTTATAGTGGCAGTGGGCCCTACTTTAGTATATTACTCCGTCTGGTGCCAGACAATTTTACTCAAGGGCAGAATGTAGACTTGCCACAAGTCGACCTCGAATGAAACGTTGGCTCACATTTGTTGCTTGCGTTTCGTTCGAGGTCGACTTGTGGCAAGTCTGGGCAGAATGCTGCCACTCAGTGAGTTAATATTTTCTCAGAACACTTACCATCAAATTAAATTTATTTTGCTGGCAAAATTGCCTTGGAGGTGGTCCTTAATTTGTTGAGTTTTTTTGTGGTGAGGGGGGCGGTGAGTGTTGTAAAAAACAGAATAGCAACTGGTTTCAGAATAGGGAGAATTGTTGTAACATAGGTAGTATAATTCTAAGACAAATCATCCAAAGAAAGCAATTATTCTAGCTCTTATAGTGTATGTTGCAACAGGGATGGATTTACTGGGGGGTGCACCCCTAGCCCTGGCCAGGGGGGGGGGACTATTTTTCATGATAAAGCAAAAAATTATTACAGGCAAAATGAGATTCAGTAATTTGAGTAATAACATGATGACAAGTGAGCTGTGAACAACAATTACAATTCAAATACAGTAGTAAAGCAAAATTTTGCAGTAGTGAAGCAAATTGATGGGTGGGCGGCACACATGACCGACATAACTTGGCACCAGAGCTGGCAGAGCACCCCCCCCCCCTACCAGAACATGCTGGATCCATCCCTGTGTTGCAAAATTTATTTTCTTCATAGTCAGGCATTCACATGAATGAAGATTAGAATTGCATCATGTTATATTATTAAGACTTTAAATATTTAGGAGGGGTCTCCATTATTAAATTAAGAGATTAAAAAGGGGCCTATAACATTTTGGCATAAGAATCTCCCACCCTGGGGTATAATGAATGGTCATTTAAAGTACATGCCATCTTCTAAGTGGTTGGGCACCGTGCCCCTTTTGTTATGGAAATCTGTTTCCTACCTTTATCCCCTGGGACAAATAATTCAAATCAACTCTCCACCCTGATAATGTGCAGATGGTAACAGCAAGAATTGAAGGAAGCAAGCTTTACTGGAGTACATACTATTATTAGGAAGCATCAATTCGCACATGCTAATTTGCCAATCATGATTTTAAACGTAATATTTCTTATCTCATATAGAATTCTTAAGGTCTTGTTTACATTTTACTGGAAGCAAACTAAGATGTATATCCAATATTTGGGTCATATCACTCATATGTCAGTTTTGCAGCTTGCCTGCTTCAACAACATTTGGCTGCAAGGAAAATGTAAACAAGGAAAGAGCATATAACACTTCATCTGTGTTTAAAATATCAATGATTAAATATTCCAACCATTGGCACTTTATAATATAAGTGACATTCAACAATAGATCAACAACATATACAGTATATGCAAAAACATTTCTTTGAATCACTGTAAAAATATTCCTCATAAACTCGCTCCAATCGTCGCAAAGCAGAGTCTTTGGAAGGGTAAAACCAAGTTTAACATCCCAAGTTCAAAACACTTTCCGTGTCCTCTTAGGCAAGCCTGTCCAGCTGGAGAGCATCTGTCGTAATCATTTTGGCTCAATTGGCTGTAAATGTTGTTTAGCGAACGAACGATATTTACCAAACCCAGTTGGAAGAACAGCAACTACATAGTTCCCATGTAATAAAAGCTGAAAAATTTGATTTCGAGTACGTCGATAGCAAAAAGAAGGAAAAATTTCAAAGACTAAACGCATTTTTAAGCCGCTCTAAGCACTTAAATTTTGTGGACACTCTTATGTTGGCGGCCATCTTGGATTTTCTAATTCATTATTATTATACACTTAATGTCTGCTCCCGAGGGAAATAGTTAGTTAGTTTTGTTTTCCCGAGTCTCAATGTTTCCCGAGACGAAGTCGAGGGAAACATTGAGATTCGAGGGAAAACAAAACTAACTATTTCCCGAGGGAACAGACATTAAGTGTTTTTGTTATATGGCGACGAACAAAAATCAACTTCAACAACATTCATATACAACAATTGTTTTTCGTGGCAAAAACTCTATAGAGTAAACGAGTTTAAAATTAAAGAACCTACTTAAACCGTTTCGGCAGCATATCCTGTTTCCTGTTCTGTATTTTTCTTCCCTTTTACATTCTTTATTTGAACCCAACATTGGAAAATCGTAGTTTCTAATTTTCGTAGTTGTGCCACCATTTTGTTTATTTATCTACGTGGCCGGTCGGGGCGGGCAACAATTTTTCACTTGTTGCCCGGCGGGAAACATTGCATTTATCTGAAGTCACGTGATTACAAATCAGCCAATCACGTTTGGTGTTCACGCTAGCTAAATAACAATTTAATTTATTACACCCACTATATCCGGATGTTGAAAGTCATGTGACCGGCCGGTGCCAGGGCCTTTTCCCGCCTTCCCAATGACAAAAATAGGTACGCTAAGCGTACATGTAGCTGCTCATGGTGATTGCACTGTTGCCAAGGGCTTCAATCAACACTCAATAGCTTGTAAAAAATTTTAAGGGACTGATGTTTAACAGTTGACCAGTTAAATAAAGTTAGATTTATAGTATGTCAGATGAAAGAAAAATAAAATGGCTGATATATATTCAACTTGCAGAAACTAAATCCGGCCATATCTTCACAAAAATAATATTCAATTTTATGATGTACTTGTTGAATCATCTTTGTTTTATAATGTTCTTGCAGGAATGGGTCCAGCATGATCTGATAGGGGGAGGGCGGGGGGGGGAGTGCTCTGCCCGCTCTGGTGCCAAGTTGTGTCGTTCATGTGTGCCTCCCACCCATAAACTTGCTCCACTATTGCAAAGTCTTGCTTGACTACAGTATTTGAATTGTAATTGTTGTTCACAGTTCGCCTATCATCATATTATTACTCAAATTTCGATTCTGTATCTCATTCTGTCTCTAATAATTTTTGCTTATCATGAAAAATAAGACCCCTTCCTGCACCACTCTGGCCAGGGCTAGGGGGAGGGTGCACACCCTCCGCACCCCTCCCCCCCTCCCCCAGTAAATTCATCCCTGTGTTCTTGTTAAAACATTTCGGGTTCCAAATCTTCTTGATAGTTCATAATAAACTTTAGCAGGCATGCGAGAATGTTGTAGATGCATAGAAGTTGTCAGGATAACAGGTGGTGCCAATATACATTTGCAGAGTTTTGAAAGCCTTTTTATACCATAATTGAAAGCATTTTTATACCATAGTCAGGGTTGATGGCACACAAATCAACTGTTTATGCCTAGTAAATATATCAAATAGGTCATATATTGAAAGTCATTCATCAGCAACAAGTATGGAAATTAGAAGTATAATCGATGCATATAGTTCTTGAATAGAATGATATAATTCAGCATACCAGATCCATGCAATAATATATTGTCGTGGAAGAAAATCCACTAAACAGAATATTATGTTAGTTTGTACATTGTGTGCTATATGAGTAAGATCCCATTATGACATATGGTTGTTGTTGATTATAAGACAATATAGTATGGGATAGGTGAAGGGGGATATAAATTGCTTACTTGGTGTTCTGGGCAATGGCATTCAGTTGCAGAAATCAGGGTGGATGAAGAATGGAGCACCCCCTCCAGGATATATAGTTATATACTGCATGTTGATAATCATGACTCGTTGCAACTGTTACCATAAGTATTGATATTCCAATCTAAAACTGAATCTCTGCTCTTTATGCAGCCACTATTACCTGTACTTTGGCTTTGCTTTAATGAAAGCAATTTTTCAATGACACATATTGCTATAAAGTGCTTTATTAAGAGAAATGTTTCCAATATGTGTGAATTTATAGCTTCTGACTCTGCTAAATTTGTATAAAAATGATCTATCGAAGTCTGCTTGTCTGTAATGAAAGCAGACACCAATTGTCTATAGTTATGATCATTGATAAAGAAATTATGTAACCTTACGAAATTATATAGCCTTCTATTGGTTTCATTCAACTAATATAATTTATATTAACTAATGTCACCAATGAAATTGAGAAGTACATAAACATCAACACTTACAACTCGATATACAGCTACAACGGCATCATGTGGAAGAATCATTAATACTTTCATAGTTGCATAACAGTATTCTCAATGCCATAATATTCAATAATTTTCTTGTCAAAAATTGCGAATCATTTCGTTTCCACTGCGTATTAAATCATAGTTAATAGAAACATTAAAAAATGAAACCCTTCAAATGCTTGCCAAAAATGCAGTATCGACATTTGCCATATTCATATTAGCAAAATGACGTTGTTTTAAACTGCGTTTGATGTATAATTTTAATCGTAAATTCACAAATTACCTTTTGTTTCACTCTTCATTAAACCGCCATTTTGAAATTAGTATCATTACGTCATTTCATCTATACGCTGTCGTTGATTCGCTATGAGCACGCTTACAAACTTCCGGTACGCGCACGATGGCAATATATCTGCTTCGCAGATACAAAAAGGGAAAAGCTCTGGGAACGAGGTTGCTATTTGCATGCTTAATTAATGCCTTTGCCTGATTTGCTATATGTTAGCAGTATGCAAATTAGGTAAAGGCATTAATTAAGCATGCGAAAGGCTGATTTTTTTATAATAAAATGAATAGTTAAAGGGCTTAAACTAAATCAAATTGTCTGAAATTTTGTACAGTAATTAAGAACCCAACAAAGTTTCCACCTATTAACTCAAAATACGATTACAGCTTTTAAATTTTGTGCGCGAGCCATTTTTAGTTCGTTGGAAAAGAAAAGACACACCCGCCTGGTTCACAAAATTTCAGTTTGAGAAATTTTTTTCATTATTCTACATTATAAGTACCCAAAGAAGCTATATATATATAAAAACGGACACAAATAGGTGTTTTGCGAAATTGAGAGCAATTTCAAATCTGTTCAGTTTTTTTATACACCCTGTATATAGCGAGCTCAAGTTGTAGTCATGACGCGAAACGAAGGCGCGCGCATTCAAAACCGGTTAGAACTGCTTTATTTCCGGTTTACTTCGTCCAGAATTTTGGACGAACAAAACACAAAAACGGCAGAGCCTTATTTTCTACGAGAGGGGAAATCAGGCTCTGCTCTCAGGGTAACATGTTGTCAACCTAGATTCAGCCAATCACAATTCACGGCAGCTTCCTGCAGAGAGCGATCTTTTTACCTGGGCTTTCGGGCAGGCACTTTCTTCAATTATCCTCCTTAATTAGAAGAGCCGGCCACGCTGGCTATACTTGTTCGGCGAGTGTTATGAGCGCAATGATGAAATAGGAAGTTTTAATTTTGAGAAAGGCAGAAAAAGTGGCAAGGTCATTTCGGCAAAAACAGGTAATACGCCTGGTTAGTTTGATAATAATTAAGCCAATTATTTCTTGTTAAGCTGCCAAAAATATAGAAGACAAGTTGTTCACATAAATATTGTGCAATTAGGAACAAGGCTCTTTGTTCAAGCAAAAAATCAAGAGAGTGTTGATTTTAGCACACGTCAAATTTTCATTAAGTATTTATTCGCATGCTTTCGCTTGTGCGCCCACATTTTGCCGAAAGTCACTTTGCCGAATTAGCCATTTTGTCTAACGAACATTTTGGCGACGGACGTTTTGCCAAACGAACAATTTGCCGAGAATAGAGATCTTTATTTCGTCAAAATGTTTGGGACTGTAACACATTTCTCAACTGTGCAATCCTTCTTCATTGTTTAGCTGTTCAGCGCAGTGTAGCTGATAGTGAGCTTTTCATTCGAAAAGTATTTATACAACCAACGAGATGATGGATGTGGGACACATAAATTATATATACGACATGAGCGCCATTCAACCTAATACGCATGATTTCTGCATGTCACAGAATTAAATCAGCGCAAAGGCCTATAGGCAATTGTGCCCCAAGCTCACTACCAGCAACTGCGGACAGCTGTTTCGCCCTTTTGGGGCTCGTCAGCGCAGTGTAGCTGATAGTGAGCTTTTCATCCGAAAAGTATTTATACAACCAACAATGAGATGATGGATGTGGGACACATAAATTATATATACGACAAGAGCGCCATATATATATATATATATATATATATATATATATATATATATATATATATATATATATATATATATATATATATATATATATATATATATATAGGTGAATGTCAATAAGTATATTGAGTGTCGAATCATACGAATAGAGTGCTCGATACGTAAACGAAGTAACTCAAGTTTGTCTTTTATATATATATATATATATATATATATATATATATATATATGCGCAACGTATATCTTTCCCGCTTGTATGCAAAAGGCAGTTAACAGTTTATCACTACTTTTGAAATAAAAATGATATACAATACCCAGAAACTGGCGACCAAAAGAAAATTGGAGCAAAGAAGAGAAAAACACCAAAACAACTTCATATTAACCTAAAATGTAAAATATAATATCCAACATAGGAACGTAAAAATAGTGTTTAATTAAATAAAAATTATTGACCTGTGCTTGTTTTAGCTAATTATTTAGGATTATACGTCAGTTACACATTAATTGCAAAATTAAGATGATATGATTTCCTATATTCGTCTGTCCACGTGATTGCATCTGTTTCAAACGCGCGTCAACTTTTTACCAATATGTTTGTGTTGCATTTTTTGGGGCTATATGTAAGTTATATTATATATATATATATATATATATATATATATATATATATATATATATATATATATATATATATATATATAATATATATATATATATATATATTATATATATATATATATATATATATATAATATATATATATATATATATATATATATATATATATATATATATATATATATATATATATATATATATATATATATATATATATATATACGTATATAATCGTTTGAATGGCTCATTGTTATCACGAGAAACTAAAAAATTATGCGGTGAAAAAGAAATGCAAGCTTTAGTACAAACATAATCCGTTATTTCAAATGTTATATGGTTTCAACATTCTTTATACACTGACACGACGTCAGTATACTTTGCGAGGTAATAAACTGACGATGCATGCCACAATATCTCTTAAAGTTACATACTTACAAGGCAACACAGGGAGTAGGCTCTAAAGCTATTTTCAAGATCCTTCGCGAATTCTTGTATTTGTTCTCTGCAACTTCACTCGAGAAGATTGCGGATTATGAACTGGAATATGCACGTGTATTGCACGTAGACAACCTTAAGACGACCGTCATGCATTGAAAGTGCAATGATAAAACAGGAAACTTGAGACAGGCCCGAAAAAGTGCCAAGGTCATTAAATTAAGGCACAAACAGGTAATACGCCTGGTTGGTTTAATAATTAAGCTCGAGCTCTATATTTTTAGTTAAGCTGCTTCTAAAAGAACAGTTCTGCAATACTACGCTTAAATTGACGGAGCGAAATCGCTCTTTTGGAATCTAATGGAAGATTATTCCACAGCATCAATGCACTATATTTAAAGCTTCGCTTCAAAAAATTAGTTTTTGGTTTTGGAAGTGCTAGATCCGTTTCCTGATTACGTAAATTATACCCTGAGAGCAGAGGCTGATTTCCCCTCACATAGATAATAACGTTGAAGCTACATGCTGGGCGCGTGCAACTGCACGTGCTGTACAATTACGACAATATAATAATACAAAAAATTTTCAAATCGATATTTTTGTCACTTGTGAAATCAAACTATTACTATATTTTTACAAATGCTAACTTGCTAGTTTATTTTATCCTACGTTACTTTTCAGTATATTTAAGTTACTGTCAGCCAAATTTCGGTTATGAAGTATAAAGTTTTAAATTTTGTAAATATATAGCGGGCTCAAATTGTATAGTCATCGGCTTACATCCAAAACGAAGGCGAGCGCATTTAAAACCCGTTAGAACTGGTTTATTACCGGTTTACTTCGTCCAAGTAAGTTCGGTAACTTAATAATAAAAGACGCAGAATTTTTCGTTTGAAAAATTCAACATCAAGCCGAACTTTAATTGTTTCAGAGGCTTGGAGCATCACCAAAGCCAAGGTGTAAAAGTGCAAAGGTTTTTACAAACATAAAATACAGTATGACTACACTAAAACATTGTATATTTTTAATGGAACAATACGTTTATGGGAGCTAAAAGTTATTATCATAGTAACAGTAGCATTGTATTTTAATGCTTTTTTGCCTGGGAGAATTTCTGCATGTCCATAGGCATACGAGGCTGGTGGTTGCAACCCCTCCAGTCAGTGTTTAGTTTGGCAGAATTCTGCTTTAAAAAATTATTGGGCAATTGTTTTAAGATTGGCTTTGAACAGTATTTCTGCAAGACTGCATAGGAGAAGTATTCCTTCTATTTTATACCTCTTGCAATTTTTCATTTATAAATAAAGTCATGACAATGTTGGGCAATTTCTATCCACCTGTACGCTAATGTTATGTTTCAATGCTGGGAGTGGCATTGCAGAAAACCTATAGTACACAAATTTCCTGGAGAAGCATGCCCACAATCCTGGTAAAAATCCTTGAGTTCCTTTGTGTTTGTCTAATTGTGCTGGCACTGAGATTGTCCCTTTCACTTTTGCTGTTTGCTTTGTAGTTTCCTATCAGAAAGATTAAACTGACTGCTCCAAAGAAATCCCAGTAAAACATCATAAATGGACATTTGAGGAAGATAAAGCATCCATTGAATTCATATCTGTTGCACACACTCATGCAAATGATTACAATTGAAGAGGTTTAATACCGATTATGTAATACGTCTAGATAGTTCTAATACATCATTAAGCTAGTGCAAAAGCATCACCTTTCATATACTTCATCATATAGCATCCATGTTTACTGGTGAAATGAATGTGTGCAACATTTTAAAATTGTGCGTCTAAAATTTTATTTTTTAAAAACATTTTCATTGTCTTTAAGTACAGTAATATTATCTTAATATTTTTTTCGATTTTCAAATAAATAAATTTTACTAACATCAATTATGTAGTGTGTAATCTTTTTATTAATTTGTGATGAGCATACATGATGACTATACACTGAAAATCATGAAAACCATACATACCATAAACCTCCAAATATAAGCACCCCCCTCCCCCGTGTATATGCCCCCCCTTGTGTAAGCCCATCAAAAATCGCTTACGAAAGGATATAAGCCCAGGGCTTATTGTTGGAGGTTTACGGTAGATTGTCAAAAAACTGCAAAAGTGATGGCCATGGCAATGGGATACAATACTTATGGTACGATCAGGGAAGTGACGAAAACACATGCAGTACAGGAAAACCCGGGTAGGGTCAAGACTGTACGACTCTACCACTACAGGTTCCCCATCTTTATCCTTACAAATAAAAGAAACGTCAGTATTACACCAGACAGCAATAAACAATATTGCAGCTTCTGCCAAACATTTTGATTCAATGTTTTTAACCCATATATTGCATTGACTATTTGAGTGTCAGCACTCGCCCCCTGATGAGTAAATAATCTAGTGTTAGACAGTAAAATAATTTGGGGTTAGGCAGAGTAAAATGATAGTCAACTGCTTGAATATTTGAGCATAGATAACAGGTTGATCAGTATAAATCCTTGCAATGCATCACACAGTAGTCAATACATTTATATATAGTGTTGTGATAGTGTTGAATTTCCTCCATTTCATTCTTTACAACAATGCTACCACTGGGCGCTTCTTCCATCATTTGATGTGTGCGAATGTCTGTCAGGGCAACCAGGATTTGCTGGTAAATTAAAACAGTTACAATCAGTTGGCTGATGTAATTCTATTGGTGGAAGTACCCTATCCAGCTCATCATCTTGACTATCTGGGTCACGAGGTGGGATTGCTTGGGATGTTGGTGATGTTGAAATATCAAACTCGTACAACATAACATTGTTATATTATTTGGTTGTACCTCCTTCCCGCGGATCATTAGCGTCGAAGAACTACATCATATGAAAGAAAAATACGTTTAATGCTACTGTATTACAACATAGGAGCATTTTTATATTTCTATTTTTATTTTATAAAAAATCATCTATCTCACCTTAAAAACACAACCTGTGCAGGACAACCGGAATCAGCGGACAATTTCATCAATTTTTATCCCGTTAACCACTGCTGGACAAAGGACTATTCTTCAAACTATCCGTAAAACTATAAACATGAATCTCACGACATTCAAGTTCATCTCACGGTAGTCCTTCCGTATCCAAGATTAAAGCCTGTTTTGACACACAGTTAACACACAGAAGCTCGTGTCCACCCCAAAACGAAGCTTTCTTTCCATGCATTTCTGTAAATATTTTCTGAATCTCTTTGAAACCTCGAAGTGCAAACACAAGGAAAGCCGATCGAACAATGACGGTGCAGAGCGAGAAATCGATAATATGTAAAAAAAACTTCCCCTGAACGCGTTGCATGCCGGTACAGTCCTCACTCCTTCTCTGATCTTGCTTAGGTCTCGAAATATTTAGAGTGAAATTAACCAGCTGTCCGCAATCTTGGGTTAATTCTTGACCTCATTAACTATGGTTTGATGACGTCAGGAGTTGGGTTAACCATATAAAACTACTCTAAAAGGACCAAGTAACAATTCACATTGTTTGAAATGTTTTTAATCGTTTCCAAATTTCAGACAGCAACCAGAAACGAAGTTTTGGACCCATTTGGATCACTCACTCTCAAGATAAAAAATCATTAGCGTGACTCACCCCTCTTTTGACGTAACATGCATGTCCTGAATAATCCAAGATGGCGAACAGCTCATTTTTTTCAGTCGAAATATTTTGAAAACTAAGCAAGATATAAACAATCTGTAATAGAGTCTAAGATATAGTTTTAAGAGTTCTTTCAAATGAACTAAACTAACTAATTTTTTATTGCCAATGTCCTTTAACATGGACGCACATGCCTACGGTACAGGTAAAATTCTTTCTATTGGTTAGACTTTTCTTTCTTCGGGAAATATGTTTCCGCGATCAATTGACCATTTGCGTAATAGACTAAATTTTGATCTAGGCAAGGCTAGACAAAAATCGCACCACAGCTTGAAAGAGCATCGCAAAATTAGTAATATTCCAAAGTTTCGTTGCGAAATGTTGTAAAATATGGAAAATATAGCCTTGCGAAGTTTGCAATTTTCAGTCATTTTAGATTACAAATGGGAAATTGACAGCCTCGAAGAGTTTGGGGCTGTCAATTTCCCATTTGTAGTCTAAAATGACTGAAAATTGCAAACTTCGCAAGGTTATATTTTCCACATTTTACAACATTTCGCAACGAAACTTTGGAATATTACTAATTTTGTGATGCTCTTTTAAGCTATGATGAAATTTTTGTTGAGATAAAAATTTAGTCTATTACGCCAATGGTCAATTGTCCCGTGGTTTTGATACCTTTTCCAAGCA